GGTTAGCTGTAGATTTCTGCATCTGCTACCAACTGTTTCTGGATGAGGGGTCTAACTTCTCTGGGTTGTGGACCCCTCTGGGTTGGTTATCCTTTGTTTTATGTTTGATAGCAACTTACGAGTGAGGCCATACTATATTTGTCTTTCTGAGTCTGGGTTACCTCACTCAGGATGATTTTTTGAGGTCCGTCCATTTGCCTGCTGAAGCACAATTAATAAAAATCCAGTGACAGAAATTAGGGTTCAACTGGAAGGTCAGAAAAGCAAAACACCCAGCCACTGACTCTTACCTCTACCTCAGTTCGAAACGGCGACCTGCTTCCAGGAAACCTCAGATGAGACTGTCTCTGAGAAGGAGACTGAGATTGTCTCCTTCTGTATTATAATCCTCTCTAGTTCTGGGAGTAAACAATCGCCTGGTTTCTATGGCAAGCTAGTGTGGCTACTGGGATTAAAGGTGTGTGTCATTGATGCCTGTAGGACTGGCCAGTGTGGCTGTTTTACTTTTCTGATCTTCAAGCAATCTTATTTATTAAAAAACAAATGAAATGCTACTTCAGCCTGCAAATTTCAAGATGTCATTTTTTTCTTTTTCTTTTTTTTAAACCACTGAGTAGTATATCATTGTGGAAATGTATCACATTTTCTTTATCCATTCTTCAGTTGAGGGACATCTAGGTTGTTTCCAGGTTCTGGCTGCTACAGATAATGCTGCTAGGAACATAGTTGAGCAAATGTATTGTGCAGTGAGTGTGCTTCCTTTAGGCATATGCCCAAAAATGGTATTGCTGGTATTGTGATTCCTAATTTCCTAAGAAAACAATATGCTGATTTCCACAACAACTGTACAAATTTGCATTCCCACCAGCAAAAGGAGTAGCATTTTCCTTACTCCACATCCCCTCCAACATAAGCAGTCATCAGCGTTTTTTATCTTAGCAATTCTGACAGGTATAAGATGGTTTCTCAGAGTTGTTTTGCTTTGCATTTCTCTGATGGCTAAAGATGCTTAGCATGTCCTTAAGTGTCTTCTGGCCATTTAAGATTCTTCTGTTGAGAATTCACTCTTTAGATCTGTACCTTATTTTTTTAATTAGTTTATTCAGTGTTTTGATGTCTAATTTCTTGAGTTCTTTATATATTTGGGAGATCAGCAATCTGTCCAATATGGAGTTAGTGAAGATCTTTTCCCATTCTGTAGGCTGCCGTTTTGTGTTGTTGACCATGTCCTTTGCTTTACAGAAGATTCTCAGTTTCATGAGGCCCCATTTCTTTACTGTTGTCCTCAGTTTCTGTGCTACTGGTGTTATATTTAGAAAGTGGTCTCCCGTGTCCATGCTTTCAAGGGTACTTCCCACTTTCTCTTATACGAGGTTCAGTGTGGTTGGATTTATGTTGAGGCCTTTGATCCATTTAGACATGAGTTTTGTGTATGGCAATAGATATGGATCCATTTGCAATCTTCTACATGCTGATATTCCATTATACCAGCATAATTTGATGAAGATAATTTCTTTTTTAGTTTCTTTGTCAAAAATCAGGTGTTCATAGGACTATGGGTTAATATCAGGGTCTTCAGTTCAACTCCATTGGTCCAACCGTCTGTTTTTACGTCAGAATCAAAATGTTTTCATTACCGTAGCTCTGTAATAGAGCTTGATGTCAGGGATTGTGATGCTTCCAGAAGTTTCTTTATTGGAGAAGATTGTTTTTATTTTGGCTATCCTAGGTTTTTTACTTTTCCATATAAAATTTACTATTGTTCTCTTGAGGTCTATGAAGAATTATGCTGGGAATTGGTTGGTATTGCATTGAATCTGTAAATTGCTTTTGGTAGGATTGCCAGTTGTATGATTTTAATCCTACATATTCAGGAACATTGAAGATCTTTCCATTTTTCAATATCTTCTTTAAATTCTTTCTTCAAAGATTTAAAGTTCTCATCATACAGGTCTTTCACTTGTTTGGTTAGAATTACCCCAAGATATTTTATGTTGTTCGTGGCTATTTTGAAAGGTATGTGTAATGATGATTTATTTGTATTTTAATTTAAAAAGTTTGACTGAAGAACAGAATGTAAAACAGCCACACTGGTCAGCCGTCCAAGCCAGGCAGCGGTTAAAGAGAGTTTCCCCACATTAAGGAATGGTAAAAACCATTCGAAAAGAGGGATTTGGATCTCTGTATGATGATATGCTAGGCAGTTTGAAAATAGAATGATGAGATGAGAGAATATGTAATTTAAATGTCCTACTTGCTTGTTCTTTATACAACTAAACACCACTAACTGCAGAAAGTAACCCCAAGGGTTCTCAAAGGAATGAAATCTGGCAGATGGATGTGTTCCATTTTGTACAATTTGGAAAACTAAAATATGTACATCACATCACTAATAACTATTAATGAAGTTATCAAGAAAAACAATACTAAAATTTATCTTCACATTGGAAATCCTTACTTGAACTTCAATTAAAATCAATCTGAACTTACTATTTTTCTACACAAACTTCTCACCCAGTGAGACAATGTAACATGAGGGCCGGGCTGTTGGGGTTTCTGTCCTGCCCGGTACCCCATAACCGGCAAATCCCAAAGAGAAATCATAGACAGGACTCCATAAGATTATAAACTGATTGGCTCATTAGGTCAGGCTACTTATTGGTTTTTATAACATATGTTACCCCATTATCCTTATCTATCTTAGCCACATGGCTCAGTACCTTTTTCAGCTGGGCAGGTTATATGTTGTCTCTTCGGTGGTCTGCACAGGAATGGCAGAGGAACCTCCCTGCTTCCCAGAATTCTGTTCTCATTGCATCACCTCTACTTCCTGTCTGGTTTTCCCGCCTATACTACCTGCCTGGCCAATCAGCATTTTATTAAAATATGATTGAGTGACAGAATACAGACAATTTTCCCGCACCAAGACAACAGTAAGTTGTAGGAAAAGTTCACTTAGAAAAAGCTAGCTTCAATACTAGAGTTCTACTTACATAAGACTAATTAAACATGATAAGCATGCACGAAGCTTGGAAGTAGTGTTTTTCTTCTTGGAGGGGGAAAGAGATGGGGAAGCTTTCTGAGACAGGGTTTCTCTGGATAGTCCTGGCTGTGTCAGAACTTGCTCTGTAGACCAGACTGGCCTCAAAATCAGAGATCTGCCTGCCTCTGTCCACCCCCATCCCCAGTGCTGGAAATAAA